GGACTGCGCCTAGGACGAGCCCCCTTAGGGAGGCAGGGTCTGGGGCTGGGTGCGCCCCTATCGGAATAGAATGGTACTACACTTCTACTCCCCATTCTCTCTCTCTCTCTCTCTCTCTCTCTCTCTCTCTCTCTCTCTCTCTCTCTCTCTCTTAAATGTTTGACCAAATACAGCAGGCTAAGTATATATATATATATTTTTTTTTTCCACAGAGAGGAAGAGAGAGGGACAGAGATCTAGAAGAGAGAGAATCATGGATCAGCCGCCTCCTGCACACCCCCCACCGGGAATGTGCCTGCAACCAAGATACATGTCTTGTTCGGAATCGAACCCAGGACCCTTCAGTCCGCAGACCGACGCTCTATCCGCTGAGCCAAACCGGTTTCGGCTACCCCCACCCCCACCCCCAATGTCTTAAGTGAAATTCAACCCTTCCACCCGAATAGAACCGAGAGGAAGTTCCAGGAGTCCGCGTCTTCACTGCGGATTCCTTGGCGCTAGCTGCCTCTAGCTGACAAATCAACATTTCAATCTGACAATTAGTGGTGGAGATGGGGGGAGAGGGGCCCTCGCTGCCAGGACCCGTTAACCCTCCCGGCGAGCGGCAGCGCGGTGGGCGGCGCTGGCAGTGATGAACGACTCCGAGGGGGCCCCGGGCCCCGAGCGCGCATTCATTACTGTCCTGACAGGCGGGCGGGGGCCTGGCGGGCCGCGGTGGACGTGCCAGGGAGAGGCCTGTGGCAGGAGGGAGCGTAAGGGAGGCGTTTACCAGCCCCGCCGCCTGGTCAGCTCCCGGCTCTTCGCCTCGACCTTGGTACTTGACTTACTTATGCGTGGCTGGCCTCTCGGCTGTTGTTGGGGCTGGCCCTGGTTGCAGAATTTGGAGAGCAGGGACCGGGACTTAAGCCCTCTTCAGGTTAGGCGATTTCAGATCCCAGATGCCAAGAAAGGGGCAGACAGGCCTGAGGGCTAGAAGCTTTTGTCTGACCTGGGAGGAACTGTGCGTGTCTGTGCACACAGAGGTGGTGTGTGACAGGTATTGATGGGTGTGGATCACGCGTGGCGGGCGGTGATTGTGTGAGTTAGTGTTAGGGAAGTGTCGGCGAATGTCTGAGGAGGAGCTGCAGCGTCTCCTTGCTGTCTGTGCCCCTCCCCACCGCCACTTGCTGTCAGGTCTCTGTCTTCGGTTCCGCAGGAAATGGCAGTGTCCATGGTGACAGCTGAGGTGTGCTGCTGGGGTTGGGAAGATAGATGTTACCTGTGAGAATGCTGGTCTGGACAACTGCTCCCTTCCTCCGCCTCCACCCCAAACACCGTCCTTTTCCCACGCTTCCTGAGAGTAGTGGGTATTTATCCCCTGCAGTCTGGAGACCCAGCTGCTGAGGAAGTGGTGACTGTCAGATATCTATAGTCAACATACAGCCTCCATCACATACACAGTCTCTAATGTAAGCTATGACCTCAGCCCTCTGGCTTCCCCAGGCCTGCGGGGAGCAGAGAGGAGGAGGTGGGTCTCAGGAAGGGAAGAGGCAGACTGTCCGGCCTCCAAGACAGCCTACCTCTTTGGGGCCCGGGCTATTGGCCCCCGGGATTCTTACCTGGATCTCAGGCTCAGTTACTAGTTGACACCTTGGGAGGATAATGCTAATCATATTCTAATTTCCATCCCTAATTTACTGTCATCACCTGACTTTGTCTCCATTCTCCTCCCCACTCTCAAGCACACCAAAGGGTTGATCTTTCTCCCCAGCTCTGAATCTCCCTGGTCTCCAGGACAGAGATTTGGGGTGATTCTGAATCTCCATTTCTTCAGTGTGTCTTTCAGCCACCTTTCCTTATGTCTTGCTCTTCCTTCTTGGACCCTCTATATCTTTGTTCCTGCAACCCTTCTCCTTGTGTCGGCGTGTCTTGACATTATAAAAGATATGTTTTTATTGATATTTAGAGAGAGGAAGGGAGAGGGATAGAGAGATAGAAACACCAGTGAGATGAGAAACATCGTTGTTCAGCCGCCTCCTGCACGCCCTCTCCTGGGGATTGAGCCTGCAATTGTGGCAGGTGCCCTGACCTCTTGGTTCCTGGGTGGAGGCTCAACTGCTGAGCCACACCGGCTGGGCTGCATGTCTCCACATTTAGGGATCTTTTCCAAAAGTCTCTCCCTATGTTTTTCGGTCTCCATGTCCCTCTGGGGCTTCTCCCTCTGGGAATACCCCCAGGACAACGGTGAGGCCTCCTTGGAATGAAGAGAGGGAGGAGGACTTCCTTCCTAGTCCCGTCCAGTGGCTACTGCAACCCCAGGGTGGGCAGGCAGTGTCAGGGCCACGGCCAGGTCGCTTCTCATTCAGGGCACAGGCGCCTGGTCGATGCCCTGCTGTCCGCCCCCCTCCCAACTGCCCTTCTCCAGGCCTGCGTCCCCTCCTCCCTCATGGAAAAGGCAAATTTGACATTTTTAAATCCCGAGCCTTAGAGGGATCGATGCGGCCCGGGGCCCCACCCAGGGTCGATATTCCTGATTGGGAAGCGGCCTCTGCGCGCAGCGGGTGTAAATCACGAGAACTGGGAGCGGGAGCTCCGGCTGCAACCGCGTCCCAGGCACGTGGGGTCAGACAAGGTCCCGGCCTGGGGGGCCGGGGGGAGGGGGTTCCCCATGCTATGGAAGGACAGGTCTTAGAGACCCGGACATAAGCAGCCCTGAGCTCCCCCTCCCCTGCCCGGCTCTGCCAGCTCTGCGGCCGGCTCCGGTCTCGCTTCAGCGGCCGCTCCCCTCCGTTGCCCCCGGAGCCGCCAGGGAGGCCGGAGCCGGAGCCAGCCATGCGGCGGCTCCTCCGTGGCCGCTCCCGCGGGGCCTGGGCTTCGGCGGCGGCTGTCACGAAGCCGACAGGCCGGCCGGGCCGGGAAGGGGTGGGTGGCTGGCGGGGAGAGGTGGTGGAGGTGGTGGGGGCGGGGGAGGGGAAGCTGGCGCGGCCCTGGCTCTCCGTGGGCGCGCAACAGATATCTGTGGATTGAGGGACGGCAACGGGACGTGGGGCGCGGAGTCCGCGGTCAGGGAGTGGGCGTCCAGCCACTCGGAGGGGCTGAGCCGCGAGAGATGGCCCCCCTCTCCGCGACGGGGATAGTGAACAAAAAGGATGGAGTGACAGGGAGGTTGAGGCCCCAACCTACAACTGCTTCCACCGCCACTCCGCCCCCAATCCCCGAGAAGGTCCCAGCTGGGGAAACTGAGGCAGCGCGGTTGAAAACGACCGGGGAGGTTCAAAGCGAGGTCAGCCAGAGCCCTGCGGGGGCCTCTGACCTCACCCACCTGCCCGGGGCCGTTTGGGTAAAAACACCACCGCCCCCCCCTCCCCCCGCGCAGCTCAGACCCTCGCTCCCACTTGAGCTGGTCGGAGCCCCCCACGCCCCACCTCGCGCCAGTTTATAGAACCACAATTTGGGGAAAACAATCCGGGCCGAGTGACGGCCCCGTAATTGTGACAAAGTGAGTGCGGGCGGCTGGAGAGCGCGCGGGGCGGGCCGCGTGCAGGCAGCTGCGCCTCCGCCCGCCCGCCGCCCTCTCGTTCTCATTCCGGTCACCTCCCATCCCTCTCCTTGACTCCGATCCAATTCTTCTTCTCCCGGCCCCCGTCGCCTCCCTTCGCTTGTTCCTCCATCGCTCTTCCGTTTCCTCTCAGTAACAGCTCGGCCCCCACCCACCCCCGCCCGCGGCAGGCCCTCCCCGGGGCGCCTTCCCCTCTCTCGCTTCTCCCTCTCTTCGCCCTCCACTCGTTTCTCCATCTTTCCTTCGCGCTCGGGTCGCCCTGGGGCCCCAGGCTCACACCGCACATCCGCTCCTACCCTCCCCAGCCCCAGCTTCCCGAGCCTCTCTCACAGAGGCCCCGCAGCCGCGTACTCTGGGGTTCTTTGCCTCTGTCCCCCCACCTTCATCCCCATCCCCACCCCCATTTCCCCACCGCTGCCTTCTCCGCCCCTTTCCCTGCGCCCGAAGCCGGTTTGTTTGTGCAGCGGCGGCGGCGATGTTTGCGGAGCTTAGCGCACCGCCGCGCAGCGCGGGCCCAATTAAGTCTCATTCATTATTCAGCGCCCGGTCAGCCCCGACCCCAGCCGGCCGCTCCCCGCCCAGCCCATCCCCAAATCAAGGCTGGGAGGCCTTGGGAAACCAAGCCTTTCCCGTTCAGAGGAGGAACCAGTCTCAGAAGCGGCGTGACTTGGCCAAGGTCACATAGCAGAGCCAGGACGGGGTCCCAGGCTGCTAAAACGAAGGCGTCCTGCATCCCAGCTCAGTCTCAGCATCCAGGCGGGAGGAAGGCCTCACGTTCCCGGTGGGACGTCCCTCATCCCCTATCCCTTTGGGCTCGTGGTTCTCCCTTTCGCCATAGCTGCCAGGATACAGCAGACTTGGGCTCCTCAGGCCTCAGGCTCTGGCCTAGATGTAGTCACCCCTGACTGACAAGCCTGGAACGGGGCAGTGAGGCAAACTCGTATGTGTGTGTGTGTGTGTGTGTGTGTGTGTGTGTGTGTGTGTGTGTGTGGGGGGGGGGGGTGTCCCCTCTCTGCAGCCTGTCTGTGGGTGTTTCTGCTGGAGAGGTGTTGGAAGCGGAGCCATCGGAGGCAGTCTTGAAAGACAAGTAGAGAGAGAGGACAGTCAGCCTGAAGTGAGAGGCAAGTCACCTTCCCATTTGTGGGGTGGAAAGGGGCGACCCAGGACCTATTTGTGCATTTGTAAGGGTCTGTTCTGGGCTGTTTTCCCCTGGGCAACAGCACAGGGTGTCAGGGGACTCGCAGGGCCCTTTTGTTCGCCGCAGCGCCACCTGGCGGCCGCGGTGCTTCGGTGCCGCGGTGCGGGAGCGCCTGGCCTGGACAGGGCGCTGGGGAGGCTGGATTCCACCAGAAAACAAACCTTAAACTGACTTTACCCCAGAGGGCGGGCGAGAGGAGCTCCAGGTGTTCCAGAGGCAGCCGGGGAGGGCCACGGGGAGGAGCCTGGCCCCAGGGACCCGACTTCCGTGACACAGCAATCACAAAAAAGACAAAGTCCATTTAGATGGAAGTGGGAGCGGAATGAGGGGCCATTTTGACTCTGAGGTCCAAGGAAATGACTGGTCAGATCAGATGCGCCTGGCAGCCGGGGTACCCAGGTACGGCAGCTCATGCGGGACCAGCAGGGACTGGCTGGTGGTCATGAGTCCCACTCTAAGAAGAGGGGAGGGCAGAGACCGGCAGGCACACTTCGGCATCTGGTTTTATTATATATTCTGGGGATTCATGGCTGCTTTGGAGACACTTTCCAAGCCGGCTCTGGCAGGAGATGGCTGAATGGTTTCAGGTCAAAATGCAGTTTCCCAGAGCTGTTTAAATGGAGGGAACTGAGGACTTTTTTCAAGTTTGACTTGCGGGGAGATTTCTTTGCCTGGAGAGCTGGAAGGCTGGAGAAGGGCTAAAACCTTGGGTCAGTGTCTGAGGGCAGCCATAGTCAGGGTTGGATTGGGGGACAGGAGCTTTCAAAATGTGTAGGAGCTTTAGAAGGGCCTCCTATTCACTCTTACTGACTCCACTCCCCACTGAGTATCCCCAGGTCAGTGGTCCCAGGGGAGGTCTAAAATGTACGCTTATGATTTTTTTGTACCTGTTCTGAGTTTTCAGTTACTCAGCTGAAAGCATTTACTTTGCTTTTGGTTTGTTTGTTTGTTTGTTTGTTTTCTTAAATATATATGTTTATTGATTTCAGAAAGAGAGGAAGAGGGAGAGAGAGATAGAAACATCAACGATGAGAATCATTGATTGGCTGACTCCTGCACGCCCCCTACTGAGGGTCAAGCCAGCACCCCAGGCATGTGCCCTTGACCTGAATCAAACCTGGGACCCTGTCCTGACTGGCTTGGCTCAGTGGATAGAGCACCTGCCTATGGACTGAAAGGTCCCAGGTTTGATTCCGGTCAGTTGTGGGCACATCCCCTGTAAGGGGTATGCAGGAGGCAGCTGATTGATGTTCTTCTCTCATCACTGTTTCTAACTCTCTATCCCTCTCCCTTTCTCTCTCTGTAAAAAATCGATAAAATATATATTTTTAAAAACACACACAAAAAAAACCTGGGACCCTTCAGTCCATAGGCTGATGCTCTCTCCACTGAGCAAAACCATCTAGGGCTACTGAAAGCATTGAAAACATTTTTCTCTCCTAAATTTGGAGTCTCTGTGGTTGTTAAAATACAGACATGAGGTGCTGGACTCAAGGGCATGGAAGAACCAGCATTTCAGGGACACTCAGGACACTCTGGACTCTATTATTGGAAAAAGAAATGGTAACTGTGTTGGGACATGGATATTGTCTTAAAGCTGCTTCCCCCCCTATCTCCTAGGGTCTAAGGATAACTCTGGCTATGATGGCCGTGCTTCTCACAGAGGACTACAGATTTCTGCACTCTGAGCAAAGCCAGGTGTTCTGAGACACTTTCCCTAAAGGATGGCCAAGGGGCTCCTGGTGACCTATGTCCTCTGGGCTGTAGGGGGCCCTGTTGGGCTGCACCACCTGTATCTGGGCAGGGATAGCCACGCGCTGCTCTGGATGCTGACCCTGGGGGGCGGTGGGGTAGGCTGGCTCTGGGAGTTCTGGAAGCTCCCAGGCTTTGTAGCTCAGGCCAACAGAGCCCAAGGACAGAGGCAGAGTTCAAGAGGCGGGACGCCCCCTGTGAGTCTCATTCGCTTTGCCGCCCAGGTGATCGTGGGCATCTATTTTGGCCTTGTGGCTCTCATTAGCCTTTCCTTCATGGCCAGCTTCTATATTGTGGGCCTCCCACTGGCAGTTGGCTTAGGAGTCTTGCTGGTGGCTGCTGTTGGCAACCAGACCTCAGACGTGAAGAACACGCTAGGGGCGGCATTTCTCACTTCCCCTGTCTTCTATGGCCGCTCCATAGCCATCCTGCCCATCAGCGTAGTGGCCAGCATCACAGCCCAGAAGCATCGCCGCTACAAAGCGTCCGCAGTGTCAGAGACACTCAGTGTGCGGCTCTACCGCCTGAGCTTAGCTTACCTCGCTTTCACAGGCCCGCTGGCATACAGCGCCTTCTGCAACACAGCTGCCACCCTCAGCTATGTGGCAGAGACCCTTGGCTCCCTCTTGAGTTGGTTCAGCTTCTTCCCCCTCCTTGGCCGCCTCATGGAATCTGTCCTCCTCCTGCCTTACCGCATCTGGAGGCTGCTGGTGGGGGATCATGGCTTCAGCAGCGGCTACTTCCAGGAGTGGGAGAAGCTCTATGAGTTTGTTCGCAGTTTTCAGGATGAGAAACGCCAATTGGCTTACCAGGTAAGGTTTTCCGTCCTTTCATTCCTGCCTGGGAGTTAGACTGAGCCTTATTGGAGCTGGTGCCCCTTGTTTTCATGTCTGCTGGGGCAGGCGGGAGGCTGTCCTGGTTTCTTTAGGTTGTGAAGGTGCCGAGGTTCTAACAGTGAGTGAGTGTGTGTGTGGGGGGAAATGTGTATTTTATTTACTTTTCATTGAGGTATAACATATAAAAAGTATACTAATTTTATGTATATACCTATGTAAACATCACTTAGATCAAGGCATGGAATATTCCATCCCTAAGAATGTTCCCTCCTACCCTCTCCCAAGCTATGCTCCTTTTCTTGGAAGTAACCTCTATTCTGATTTCTGTTACCATAGTTTAGTTTTGCCCATTCTTTTTTAAATTTTTATTTATTGATTGATTTCAGAGAGGAAGGGAGAGAGATAGAGAGAGAGAAACATCAATGCTGAGAGAGAATCATTGATTGGCTGCCTCCTGCACACCCCTATTGGGGATTAAACCCACAACCCAGGCATGTGCCTTTGGCTGGTATCGAACTCGGGACCCTTCAGTCCGCAGGCTGACACTCTATCCACTGAGCCAAACTGGCTAGGGCTAGTTTTGCTCATTCTTGAACTTTGTATAAGTGGATCATTCAATATGTACTCTTTTGTGTCTGCTTTCATTCAACATTATGTCTGTGAGATTTATTTATACTGTTGCACACAATTGTGAAATGCTTGTTTTCTTGTTAAATAGTATCCTCTTATATGAACATACCAGAATTTGTGTGTTCACTCTATTGTTAATGAACGTTTGGGTTCCAGGAGGGGACTATTCTGAATAAAGCTGCTATGACCATTCTTGTACATGTCAGCTTGGTGGACATACATGCTTATTTCTCTTGCTAGGAGATCCTGTCAGGGATGTGAAGTTCTAGGTTGGAAAATGGGCAGCTGTGATTAAAAGCAAATTTTGGTTCTTGCCATGAGATCCAGAGCTGGAATGCTAATGTGAGGCTCTAGGCCTTTTCTCATGTCAAGTAAGAGCCAATCCCAGAGCTATCAAAGTCTGATTTAAGAAGGGAGCAGAGAAAGGGCCGGGTACCCTGACAACACATGGGATTCTAATTTGCCAGCTTCTGTTTCCCTAAGGTTTTGGGTCTCTTAGAAGGGGCAACAAATGAAGACATACATCAGCGATATCGGGAGCTAGTGAAGATCTGGCATCCTGACCACAACCCGCACCAGACAGAAGAGGCTCAGAGGCACTTCCTGGAGATCCAGGCTGCATACGAAGCCCTGAGTCCGCCCAGAAAGCTCAGGGGATTCTAGAGGTGAGAAGGACATTTCTCTTTGAGGACGGACTCTTCCTGGCAGAGCTGGGCACTCTGTCCCAGCTTATCTGCCTACAGGGGGCACCCAACAGCATTAAAGAAACTGCTTATAGTTGAGATTGAGAAAACCTGAAATAGGTGAGAAAGCTATTGTGGTGGAAAATGTATTTATGTATTGAATTTATGAGTTCTTGGCTGTTGTATTCCTATTTTTCTTAAAACCATATAGTGAAATGAAAAACATTATAAAATCAATAAAATATATTTTAGAGACTATACCAACCTTATCCCACTCTTGGTAACATTGATGAATGGGGGAGGAAGGTTATTTAACTTTTTTGTTTTTGTTTTGTTTTTGTTTTAATGTACAAAGCACTGGATTAGGAGATTGAAGGAAAAATATGAAGGTTTAGTACTTCACAAGTTATCCTCTGACAAAAAAATATTTGACCAATTCTGTGGACTACTAAGGGGTAAAACTGATGTTAAATTTAAGATTTCAGGAAAATATTTTAGTTCCATTTATAGAACTTTCTAGAAGGAACAAGCTGCTGTGGAGTAGGGGGTATTCCCCCCTTACAGACTCCTCTGCTTAGAGGAGTATTGTGCAGAGCCCTCAAACTTTAGATGGGTGGTTGGACTGGGGTGGTTGGACTGACTGACCTCGAGTCTTGCCCAAACTTGAGGTCTGACTCTGAGTTACAACACCTTGTTACCGGGGAGTTTACAATCTGGTTGAGGATAACACAGGTGCACAGATATCAAAGTTCACCTCATTCAGTGTTTTGAACTAAGTGTCACAAGAGCTGTAAATAGAGTTCATTGGGATATTGGAGAAGGGATAGATGACATTGTTTTACCAGGATTTATGAAAAATTTCATGATTTTACATTTCGTATGATTTTATGGGGACTTTGGGGAAACTCTAGGGAGCCAGCATCTCCAGCATCTCAAAGGAGCATTACCTAATCCCCAAGTTATTAGCCAAGTGTGGAAGAAACAGTCCAGAATGCACAGGACAACTGGAGACCAGGCACAGGATGTGAAAATTATATACTTTTACTCCAGATTTATAGCTCTTTTAAAAAAATTATTTATTTTTTTACAGAAAGAAAGGGAACATCAATGAGAGAGAAATATTGACCAGCTGCCTCCTGCATAACCCCTACTGGGGATGTGCCTGCAACCAATGTACATGCCCTTGACCGGAATCGAACCCAGGACCTTCAGTCTGCAGACCGACACTCTATCCACTGAGCCAAACCGGTTTGGGCATTTCTTGTTCTTTTTTATGTGTGATTATCTTTCACATTCCCCGCCCCCCTTTTTTTTTCCTGGAAGTTAATTCTGAGCAGTATATATATTTAAAAAGTAGTATTATTTTGGCTACTATTTTCTATAAATTAAAAAAACACACAAGTCCAGCCCTAGCTGGTTTGGCTCGGTGGATAGACCACCGGCCAAAGGGTCCTGGGTTCAATTCTAGTCAAGGGCACGTACCTTGGTTGCAGACTTCTCTCTGGCCTGGGCCCCGCTCAGGGCTCCTGCAGGAGGCAGCCAATGGATGTGTTTCTCTCACACTGATGTTTCTCTCTTTCCCTCTCTCTTCCACTGTCCCTAAAAGTCAATAGAAAAATATCCTCAGGTGAGGATTAACAACAATAAAAAAATAATAATAATAATAGCAAGCAAGAAGTCTTCCTTAGTCTCTACCTGGATTGATTTAATGAAATCCAGTAAATTTGTATTCTCCCTTTGCCACAAATAAAAAATTTATAGACTCTTTAAAAAGAGTTGGAAGAGAACTGAAAAGGCCTCTACCTCAATAACCTATCCAATGCATAGTCTCGAGAATAGCTTGCTTCAGAGATGAAAATTTTGGCTTTTCTTGAGTAGGAAATTTCCTTCCTTTCCTACCTTTTGAATATCTGTAATAGTTAAGTTGTTTTTTTTATTTAACTGAAATTAGTTTCCCTGTAATTTATTTCTCTTTTCTTTTAAAAAAAATACTTTTATTTATTTTAGAGAGGAAGGGAGAGCAAGAAAAATCAATGATCAGAGAGAACCATTGATAGGCTGCCTCCTGCATGCCCCCTACTAGGATTGAGGGTACAATATGGGCATGTGCCCTTGACCAGAATTGAACCTTGGACCCTTCAGTCCGCAGGCCAACACTTTATCCACTGAACCAAACCAGGTAGGGTTGTAATTTCTTTCTAGATTAGCCATCTTTTGCTACAAAGAACAAAACCAGCCCGACCAGTGTGACTCAGTGGTTGAACCAGGAGGTCATGGTTCGATTTCTGGTCAGGGCACATGCCCAGATTGTGGGCTCTATCCCCTGTGGGAGGCATGCAGGAGGCAGCTGATCAGTGATTCTCTCTCATCATAGATGTTCCTCTCTCCCTCTCTCTCTCTCTCTCTCTCTCTCTCTCTCTCTCTCTCTCTCTCTCTCTCTCTCTCTAAATCAATAAAATAAAAAGCCCTTTCTTGATCAGAACCTGCCCTTTAGATCATATCCCTCTAAATATTCCCTTTTCCGGATTAAACATCACCTTGTTTAAGGAACACTGTAGTTTGTTGGAAAAAGCATAGATGGAGAAGTGATGAAATGGGGTTCTGCTTTTGCCTCTTGCATGGTTAGTCAGCGACTTTGATGAGTTACCTCATCACTTTAGGCCTCAGTTTTGTTTTTTTTATAGTGTGAGGAAGTTGGACTTAGAAGATTTTTTTTAAAAAAGTAGAATTTCCACTTATTTTCCCCCCAGGGAACTTTTCTTCACTCTTTAAAGATCTAGCTTCTTACATGGGCTTTGGTGGAGGTCGTGGGGCAGCACCCACAGGTTTAAATCGGGGTGGGGTGTTAGGTCCTTCCGGGCTTCCCAAGAAAGGTTCCCGACTCCCTTGCTGTGAATGGCACAGCTCACACAGTCATGCAGCTTCACATACAGCTTGGGAAGCACATAGGGGTCAAAGACACTGGCTTTGGAGATGCTGCGGCCTCTACTGTGTTTCGAATGACAAACTTCTTAATGGTCTTGTCCTTGGGCACATACCGGGTACAGGTGGTGCCGTGAACAGGCTGCACATGGCCTCGGCCTTTTTTGGCACAACCGTCATTCCTTCTTTTCTTGGGCATCTTGGAAACGAGGACCCGAGAGAGTTAGAAGACTTTTAAGATTGTTTTCAACACTGGATTCTGGGGTCTTTTCAGCCCAAACTTATGTTAAATGGTTTGTTTTCATCTGCTCTGTGCCCTCTTGTGGATACTGTTTTGGAAAGAAAATAAAATATCTGCTCATAGAACAATATAATGGTTACCACCACCCCCAATAAAAAATCCACCTCTATCGGGACTGTCCCGCCAAAAGCGGGAGGTCTGGTCACCTTACTCTTAGGGAATATCTACTTTATATCTTAATAATAAAGTATGACTTCCAAAAAAAAAAAATCCACCTCTATCAAACTGTCTGTTTTCATTTATTCATAATCTCTTCCATCCTCATCCATAAATTTACATAAATAAACTTACATTATTGAATCATATTGGGAATATAATTTTATACTGTTTTATCCCCCTCCTAGAATCAGGAGCATTTATGTATATTACTATGAAGACTTCATATATATATTTTATGGAGATATAATTCACATGCCATAAAATTCAGCCTTTTAAACTATACAATTTAGCAGGTGTTAGTATATTCATAAGGTTGTGCAAACACCAACACTATGTAATTCCAGAATGTTTTTACCATCCTAAAAAGAAACTCTATACTCATTAGCAATTACTCTCCATTCTTCCCTGCCAGCTCCTAGCAAGTACTAATCTATTTTCTGTCTCTATAGATTTGCCTGTATTGGACATTTTATACAAATGGAATCATACACTATCTCCTTTTGTGTCTGGCTTCTTTCTTATGTTTTCAAGTCTCATCTTTCCCCCCCCTTCAAATAACAATATTTTAATGCTGTATAACATTCCCTTTATTGGGAGACATTTATGCTATTAATATATATTTTTGTTATAAAGAATGCTGCATCAATATCTTCATGTTTCTAATTCATCTATTCTCTTGAATTATTTCAGAATAAATTCCCATGGGTGGGATTACTGGGTCAAAAGGTATGAACATTTTTATGGCTCTTGTCAATATTCCTTTTAAATTGTGGTGCCCAGAACTAAATGCAATTCTCAGATGTGTACAGACAGGACAGGGTACTGTGGGGTTATTAAGTTCTCAAGGTCTGGACAATATATCATTCTTTAAATCAAGCAGCCTAAGAATTTATTAGCTTTTTCTCATTTCTCATGGAGCTTATAGCCAATAAGTCCCTTAGATATTTTCCTAGGCTATGTTTCAACCTATGTTTGCATCTCCTCGATAACCCAGTGCTTCTGAGGACTCTCTGACATGAATTTTGTTTTTGTTTTTGTTTTTCTTTAGTGGTTGATCCTAACAAGCTGTAAGGTGTGGGTTTATTGCAGTCTTAGCTGAGAACTGCAGATGGCGCCTTGAGGCTGTCACAAGGGTAAAATATGTGCCTTCGCCTCTTTTAGGATCTGATAGTAGCACCTCCATAGCAGCTTTATTACCAGAGTTCATTACCATTTGAGGGGAAAGAGAGGGCAACTGTGAAGTTGGATTTGGGTGTTATTCAGGGAAAGCTCCAATTGAAGCACGTTTTCTAGTTGTCATTTGATCCCCTAGGGGACTCTGGGACAGTGTATTTCATGTTAGAGGTTTTTTTGCTTGAACACACATTTAATGCCACTGCTTTGGCTTTTGAAGTTAACACCCTGAGAAGCTGAGATTTTTGTTTCTTTCTGTTCCTTGCCATCTATTTCTTTTAGTCACTGCAAGAATTGAAACTTGTTCCACTAACTGATTTTATTTATTTTGCTAAGGTGGGTTTTGAACAACAAAAGCAGAAAATTACATGGGGTTTCAGCTAAATGAGATTTCATTTCAGTGGTTTGTTGATCTTCTTATTTTCCTTTTTCATATATATATATATATATATATATATATATATATATATATTTTTTTTTTTTTACAGAGAGGAAGATAGAGGGATAGAGAGTTAGAAACATCGATGAGAGAGAATCATTGATCAGCTGCCTCCTGCACACCTCCCACTGAGGATGTGCCCACAACCAATGTATATGCCCTTGAGCGGAATTGAACTTGGGACCTTTCAGTCCGCAGGCCGACGCTCTATCCACTGAACCAAACTGGTTTTGGCTATTTTCCTTTTTCTTTTCCTCCAAATTCTCTCCTTTCTC